CTATTGAGTTTGTCCATACAAACAACTTAACCCCACAAAACTCTTAAGGTAAACGCGAAACGACGTCATAGTAGGTTACTTTCTAGTAAAAAAAAATCTGTAGGTTTAAAAAATCTAGCATTTAATTGCCTACTTAAAATCTATGATGTTTTATAGTTATAGATGGTATAAAAGGCGTTATAAACGCTTCTAATTTAGCGATACGAAAGTCAGGTAATTGCCCGACTTGAATTCAGTCGGGCACGCCCTCTCGCGGCGGTTACACATTTAAATAAATAAATATTTCCGACACTTCGCTACAACATATAAATAGTTTTACATTTTTGCAATCTTTATATATATAATTCTTCTGTGAGTGTGTATGTCACTGAACTTCTCTTAAACGACTGGACCGATTTTGATGAAATTTTTTGTGTGTGTTCAAGGGGATCTGAGAATGGTTTAGATTTACAATTTTGTCCGCTGGACAACCCCTATTTTTTTAGGGCGGTACGAAGTTCGCTGGGTCAGCTAGTATAAAATAAATTACACGGGAACTATTAGACGACAAAAACGTGTCATTTCATTTGTAAGTACAGTTTTTAAGAAATTAATGTAAACAAACATATTAAGTGATTACTTATTTCAACAGTTGCTGACACCGTTGACACGGGTAGGTAGGCTAAAGAGCTAGATGTAATCTGCTTTATGCATAAGAGTGAAAGAGACTACTTTAGTGAACTAGTTGCGGCTGTTGTGCCATTTTAAAATGCATTATTGTTGGCGTATACCCTGTCTATAAATTCAAAGATATTGCTTAAAATATATTTATATATAAAAAAAACAAAAATATAAACCAAATTCAAAAAATTCAAATGACCTTTTGATCAATGTTCAACATTTTTAAAACTTGTATTTTTTTTGTTATGATAACCAATTTGATTTATTAGTGATTAAGGCAAAAATACCTTTGAATAAATTGTACATTTCATAAAGATAACATGAAATATCAACTGATAAAACTTGCAGTTTGCGTAAATGATGCATTTTGCTCAGACTACTTTGGTGTGCGTCATATAATTATCTTTAAGAAATCAAATTCTCGTTTCTGTTTATTTGTCCCCTGTTGTCTCATCTTTGATGCTGTTCTTAGTATTATAAAGTGAACTGTAACTCTTCAATTCATTAAGCACCATTAATTTCAAAGTGGGAAGTTTCTCAGGGTTATGAAGAGGAACTTTCGTTGCAATTGATATTGTTTAGTGCTTGCTCCGTGACTCCGTGCGAATTGAACCCATTACTGTACGGTCAGCAGTACAGTCAGTTAATCATCGAATGATTCACGTCTACAACTGTTACGATTAATGATTTATAAATTATGACCATAGGCTTCAACGAGTCATCGCACACGATTATTAAAAACCATTTTGAAATTTCTTTGATAAATCATCCTTTAACCATTACGAGAATTGTAATAACATTACTTACGCGTTTATGTGTTAATTGAACGGCAAAGTTTTAAAGCATGAAAGTACCGTGAAAAGTTAATGTTCTTTCGGAATAGTATTTGTCTAGATTTTGTCTGTCGACCCCATGTCGATCCTGCGTAGTAGACTCGATAAAAGTGTAAATTACCCTTAAAGTTTATCCTTATGTCAATGTTCTTATATGACCGACGCTATTTCACTTCCGGTGACAAACGTCTGTGTTACTTTATAACATGAAACCATTGGTGACAATTCCAGACCATTGTTATTGCATTATGAACTTCTTATGTTTGCGATTTCATTTCCGTCCCTGAGAGTAGTAATTAACTGGCGGCTACAGATTTTTTATATAGAATTAATGCTAGTGATTTTTGTTGTCTTATATTGTCATCCTGAGGTTACTTCAATGAAATAGTTCTTGTTTGTGATAATTAATCTATCTATAACCAAATTAAAATATCACACGAATTAAGTCTATAGAATACATATTTCACCAAAAATCAAAATAGAAGATCCCAGAAGAAACAAGGCTATTGCTCGATGTATACGCTGTCAGCAATACGCCCATACCAAGAATAATTGTATGAGACCATATAGGTGCGTTAAATGTGGGGACTCCATAATACAACAACTTGCACAAAATATAACAACACTCCAGCTACGTGTGCACCGTACCAAGGAAATCATCCTGCCAGCTACAAAGGTTGTGTAATATCTACCGTGAAATCGATGGCAGAAAAATACATACAAAATCTAAGTTTGAAACATGAAAACCTGAGCAAAACCACACAACATTGGAAGCAGATAAATGTATGTATTTGATAATGAATTTTCATGCTTGTATGCCATAGAGGCCTCTGTGCCTCAAGGCTCTGTCCTTGGTCCTGTCTTATACTTCATACAAAGAGCAGACCTACCATGCAGCAATGAACTATTAACAGCAACCTTCACAGACGATACTGCCTGCCTATCTAGTCATAAAGACCCGGTTGTAGAATCCGAACACGAAATATTGAGATTCATGAATATCTAAACATGCCAACCATTAACGAAGAAGTTAGTAGATATTATGCTAGATACAAAGAAAGGCTTTAAGGGCACACAAATCCACTCGTCAGGAACCTGGTTAATCAGAAAGACGAAATAGCTAGACTGGAACGATGGCGAATACTACAACTAGATTAGAGACACTGAGTATAGGGTGGATTGTTTGGGTTGACATGGCCGATTTTTTGTTGAAATACCCCTCGAAACACAAATATGAGAACATAAAATCTAATTATGGCTGATTGCAGATAGGAGAAGGGTTAAAATATTTTAAAAATTTTACCACAGTACCGGATGGAAACAAGAATACTTGGGGTAACAAAGTACTTGAGAAACCACAATAGCATGTTCATTAAAACTATTTCCTGAGAAAAATGAAGGCAAAGCTAATTAAAATGTTCATCACCGATGACAATTATTATGATAAACAGTAATTCTTTGCATTTCGTGAATGTGTATTCAGGTAGCAGTTTTATTAATCATGGAAGGCAAACTTTACTAAGGATCAAATCAATCAGACAGATCAATCAACCCAGTTTTTTTTAGTTTGTATGGTTTTGGTATGAAAGACTCTAAATGTAATTGATCAAGTGGATATTTTCCTAGTATTTTTACAACTTTTTTTTATATATCTAAGAGGATTAGTCTTTACAATTTTAGGTCTAGTACCATAGATGAAGAGTCATTCGACATATATTGTTTCAAGCTTAGGTTTCAAGTATGAGTGTAGGTCGTTTTTTTACTACAATTTAGATAGAATATATCGCTGAAACCTTGCTCGATAAAAAAATCTTTATTTCTCATTCAGTGGAGTTCAGTTTACAGTGGGTTTTTAAGTCCGCTGATTCATCGCATGAGCGCACAGTGCGTTCGGCATTGGCCTTACTTAACTTTACATGTAAATTGGTGTCTGCGTATAAATTGCAATTCTGTTTTTAATCAGTGCGTACACCTTCTTGATTTCCAGATATTGAAAAAAAATTGCATTAAAATGAACCTGGCTGGAATGCATGCTTAGGCCCACTTGCACCAAAGTTCTAAATTCAAATTAAGGTTTAGTCGTGTTTAAGAGCGGACCCGAGCTGAAAGACTTTTGAGAAATAGGTATTGGCAAATACCGTGCAATAGGGACAAAACAGTAGTCTACTGAAAATTGCGTATAAAAATTGCATAATTCGAGGTTAGGCTGTCGGCGATTACCTCCTCGAAAATTGAACATAAGTAAAAGATATTTTACAAATAGAATAATAAGTAGTTATACTATGTCTCAATGTTTTTCTTTTTTTTGTAAATGCTTATTAAATCTGCACACTAGACGTCTTTATTGCAGATAAAAAATTGACTATTTTTGGCATTTTTGAGGGCTTCTAGTTTCTTTGAAACACAAGTTATCCTAATAAGGAAGACATAGGAGCATATAATAAGTAAAATTATATTTTATGTATGAAATTCAATTATATAGTGATGAAAATCAAGGAGGAATCCATCGAGAACGTTTGTATGGAAATAACATTCCCCACCTCCCTCTTACGATATCATCCAATCTATGTCAATTGTTAAAACATGGATAAATTGAGGCTTTATACATATAAGACAAATATACTGGTTGAGAAGCTAAGATAAGCTGCGGTCTCTAGAGTGTAGGTGTAATTAATTAGGTGTCTCAACTATAAAGTTATTTCTAAATTAAGTTGTTAATTTTTAACCTTACTGTGTCAAAAACTTTTAAATTCATTAGGGTATTTTCAATATTTTTAATGATTTTTTATGAATTATGAATAAAAGTGAATTAGAAAGCAACGTATATTTTACATTAGGTAATTTTTTTTTATAAGTAGGTAATTACTTACTTAGTAATGATTACTACCTACACATACATTATCAACATAATAATATAGATAACGAATGGCGTGTTTTCGTAGTATGTATTTATTTCTCTTTTTCTTAGTTTTCCTAAACCTATTAGAACTAAATATTTTTCGTTTTCAGCTTCTAAGTAACTTTCGTAGTTGTTAATACGAAGCAAAGTAAGTGTCACATCCAATCTATTTTTGGCATTGATACTCTAGAGATCAGCTTTTGTTTACATTGTTAGCGGTCATAATACCGACGACTTGAACAATAAATTGGGTGCGAACTAAAATCAGCTGTGTATTTGTTTGTTATGGGCCCGCCACAGATCAGATACAGTGTGTTTACTGTTCTAAAGTTGCAGATTTTATTATATATATTAACGTAGATGGCAGATTTAAGGTAAATATGATGCAAAAAATATGATCAAAAACAGGTAAAATTTCAGTTGCGGGTTTTGCACTTTTTATATGATGCACTTACTATATAGGTTATATTATAAATTAAAATTGTAAGTCACATTATAAGGTATACTTGTATCAATGGATAACATTGGCATTTACTATGGCCACATAGATATAAAACATCTTGAAAATTCTTAACATAAGGTTAAATAAATATTGTGTAAGTACTCACTTTCTGGTGTAACTTGCCGTGGCACAATTCTAGATTCCATCTGAGCCGGCATCGCTGCTTTTATCAACACTTATAAGGTGAAAGCTCTACACAAACAACGTGAATATGTATTATTTTACACAACTTGCAGGAATATTTAATACTTCAATACTATAAAGTTATGTTTATCATTTGTTACGGGCGCAAATACGACGCGTGTTGGGCGACAACTGTTTTTAGTTTCGCTGCGAGTAAGAGCGACCGTCCTTCCGAAGCGATGGTAGGAGACTGCATCACAATCACAATGTGATTGTGGACTTGGTGTCACTGTGCTTTGTGTTATGCATCGGTGTGATGTGCAAACAAACGCTGTCTTTATCTTTTGTTGTTGCATGCTTGATAAGAAGTGAATAATTTATTTTTATTCTTTCAATTAGGGTTGTGTACCTCGAAAGGAAAAAAACGGAACACGTATAGGATCAGTTTGTTGTCTGTCTATCTGTCTATCAAGACCCTTTATCTCGGAAACGGGTAGATGTATCGAGTTGAAATTTAAACCAAATAAAATTTCTAAGTTAAAGTAAAAAAAAGCAAATAATTTTTAATTTTAAACTAGTTTTATTTAATGAGTGATGTGCGTGAAAACCTAAGAAACAAATAAAATTTATCAATTTTAAATTTTTATTTTAAATCCTATTATTATTTTTATACAATTTTTACGGGCCTACATTTTTTTAAGGAACCTAAAGCTCACTTTGATCCACGCCGATCTTATCCGTTTTTTTTTAATTTTATTTGAAATCTTCCATATATGTATAGAATGGCAGTTTAGGAATTCGAATGTAACAGTCACATTGGAATATATATATATATATAATTTTATTCAAAACGCGGGCCTACCCACATTTACAGTTGATTTTATTTACTTCGATTTTTCCTGTTCACTTAGTTATAATTAAAAGTAGGTTAATTTCAAGGTAGTGAATTGTTGAACAAAGAGTTGTTTTTATATTAAAAATACAGTCCATAGACCTTTTTCTTTATAGCTGACTTCCAAATGGAAGAGGTTTTCAATTCGTTGGCTTTTTTATTGTTGCTCGTGTATATCTCCATGACGCGAGGACCAATTCTGATGATTCTTTTTTTGTTTGAATTAGTTTTTTGGCGATATGGTCCCATAGTAATGTACTAAAGATCTGATGAGTACTTTCGGAGACAATCAATGGAACTCCTCAATTACATACAAACAGTACTATACTGATTTTGAAAAAAACATGAAAGAGAAAATGCATGCCAGGTACCTTTGTATACTTTTTCGTTAATGTTGCTCTGGCTTATAAAAAATGGAAAATAAAAAAAATCTTCAAAAATATATCTCACTGTCTCTCTCTGTGGGCTGGTATCTATGTGTATCTGATGAAACATGTTACTTACATAGCTATAAATTACTAGCAGGTGCACTCGACTTTCTCCGCTTCAAAAAAAATATTTCCCCTTTTCGCCCCCTTAAAGAGCGATTTCAGAAATAAAAACTATCCTTCCCTAGACTCAAGCTATACCAAATTTCCACATTCGTATTTAGTATTCATACTAGCGGCCGCCCGCGACTTCGTACGCGTGGAGTTAGTTATTTGCACATACTTTTTGACCCCAAAGGGTTTTCTGAAGATACATTATTAGTACACCTCAACACAATCTATAGAGTATACATGTTAAATTTCAAGTCTCTTACTTCAAAAACGTAGGACTTTAATTCAAACTTCCAATCCCCGTATTACCTCCTTGGGGGTGGAGTTTCGTGATAATATGTAGCCTATGAATATGTTGACCCGACTTCTTAATAATATTCATGAAAATTTGAAGTAAATCCATGCAGTACTTTTTGAGTTTATCCCGGACATACATACAGACAAACAGACAAAAATTCTAAAAACTATATTTTTGGCTTCGGTATCGATTGTAGATCACACCCCAAGTATTCTTTTAAAAAATATTCAATGGTACAGGTTTGACTTTCCTACCATTTTATTATTATATATCATAATATTGGTATGGATGCAACTTTGAGAGAATTCTTTAGCGTCTAATAATTTCATCATCAGATATGCAAATAAAATAATCATAACGGAGTTATCTTGATAACGAAAAATGGAGGAGGGTTGTTTAAGTCTGGAATAAAAAAATTAAGCAAACACATTGAATCGTTATTAAGTAATCACATTTTTTTATTGTGGCTTAATGTTATGCCTTCTGAGCTTACTATTTTAATTGATTAAATCAACTTCAAGTATGTTGTTCGTATGTTTTACATCGCTTTACCTTAAACTATGTTTATTTATCTTTCAGAAAGATCGTGAAGCATTGTTTTATTCATTATTATAGTGAAAGCATATTAAATAATCTCAACCATACAAATAAATAATCAATCCGATAAAAAGGGATGCACCCAGTGTTCACTTTTAGAGTCTTCTCTTTGTCTTAAACTTCATGTTAATTACTATACAACTTAATCTAAAAATATGGCGTTCCATAGCGTGCATTTTACTAAATTTCTAAGCAACAACTGACAAGTCCTCCTCGGCGGACATTTTTTTCATGATACGGGAACAAAAGTCCTCCGCGGACAAAGTCCGTCATCTGCGCAGGCCAGGAGGTTTTGAAAAAGCCAAAAAATCATCGAGTTGAGCTGGGGGCCAATCGCCTAACTGGGTTGCTATAGCTATCGCTATCGCTTAATATTTCATTTGGTTATTTCTGACCTATCAAAATTTTCAAATGCCTCGCGCTCTTTTTCTTTCTTTTGCATTAGTAAGTAATAACAATATTAATGAAAATGTGAGTGAGATATTTGAATACCATCAGCGGTCAGAAATAACAATATGAAATCGTAAGCGATAACGGTAGCCATAGCAATCCCGTTATGCAATTGATCCTCTGTACTACCTACCAAAAATACTGTTAAATAATCATGCCAGAATCAACATCATTATCAATATAACTTTAAAAAGTTTATAAATGAGAGTGAAGTGTACTACCTCAAAACAGTAGATTATATATAAATAATTTAACACTCATGTCGCCAACGTCCATACCACGTTGAATACACCTGTTCTCGTCCGATCACCGAAGTTAAGCAACGTCGGGCGCGGTCAGTACTTGGATGGGTGACCGCCTGGGAACACCGCGTGATGTTGGCTTTTTGCTAACATCATTCAGCTTGGAGGCAGTCTATGCATTAATAATGAGATCAATATTTATAAAAGTAAATATTTTTTTTAAAAACAAGCTGATTCATGATTGTTTGACATGAACTTCATCACAGCATGAAATCGGTACATAAAATGTTTAAAAAATTTCAACTAAATTAGTTAAATATATCTGTTTCTAAATACATTTTCAAATTTTAGAAGTCCGCCATATTGGATTGAGAATGACGTCACATTTTTTTCGAGTTACTCTCAGCAAGGCCTTTAATTTGATACCTATATTGTAGGAATGCATTAAAAATGATTGGTCCGCCATTTTGGGTATGCCGCCATATTGGATTTAGAATGACGTCACACTGTTAATCATGCATTGTCATCCGAACTGAAAGAGCATACCAAATTTCAGCTTAATCGGTTGAGGGCAAGTGCTTAAAAATTGAGTTGTAGGATTTGACCGTAACAAACATACATAGCAAGTTAAATATAAAAGCTTGTGATAAAACAAAAATTAATTGTTCGTTGTGGTGTCTGCATTTATAAAAATCGTTTTTTTTGTACTAAATAAATCATTTAATACTGTAATATGTGTTAGTTTTATCATTAAATTTTTATAAAACTTATTCAGAATGATCTCCATTAGCTTAAATACAGTCATTTAAACATTAGGGCCAGTTATCAATAGAAACATGCACTATCTCCATTCTTGGTGAAAATTCTTCACTGCCAATCTTATGGATTGTTTTAGGGACTCCAAATTATCGTGACTTTTGGACCATGCCATTCTATCTAAAACTGACTTAAATCATAATCCACCGAATTAAGATTGGGTCTGTATGTCAGAAAAGAATGTCAGAGCTGAATACTGGACGTCATCTACCTAGATGCGAAACCTGCATGATGATGCAGACCTGCACTCCCGCAAGCGGATGCAGGTCTAATGGTCACTGTCAATGAGGTCACTGCGTGTAATGTGTTGGCAGTGTGAGAATCGCCTAAGTCTTTGTTATTGTATGAAGAGATAACTGAAATGTCTATATAATATAGAAGAAGGTTATTGCTGACCAAGGATCCATGTTATTACGCTGTTTGGAAAACACAGCGGTCACACTCACAACGATGTATAAAATAAAGGACGAATAAATAAAGTGGAGCTAAGTGACATGTCGTCGATTTTCCAGTCTTAAATTGTATCTTACACATTTTTTAATTCTCTATCGATCTATCTTTCTTTAACAAGTATTTGTATCTTTTATAGTTTACGTCTGAAAACCCGCCATGTGACGAATGGTTACAAAATAGCAATAATTTAAAGTTTACGCGCCATTTTTTGGTCATATCGACGCCTTGATAAACCATTTTACCCAAAATGTGTTATGAATGCACTTACTTTAATTCAGATTTTTCCGCCCTATAGATTTGTCTATGTGCGTTATCAATTTCGTAAAAAAAATGGTTTTTACAACCCTGATATTATCTTCAACGTCTAAACAGAGCTTTCGTTGGAATTTATGATGTAAGGACCAAATAAAATATTGTTGCTATGACCATTTGCAGTAAGCCCGTATTTTTTTTCAAGCTCAGGTTGTAAAGGACTGTAGAATTGAGTCGAATATGGTGTACTACCAAAGTATCAAATTGCTCTTGGTTGTAAAAACTAAAGTTCAGTAAGATTTCGATTTGTAGCCTTAACTCCATACATTTTGTACAATTGGGTTTTTACACTCTGGGCTCAAGTAGATCAACTGAGGGAAATATATTTACACCCACTAGAACACATTCGTAAAGTGAAAATTGGATTTTACATTATTAGGCATTTTTTTCACAAATAAAAAATACGCTTCAAATGGGTGCCGCCGATGATAGTAGAAATACCTGCATCATCGCCAACTCGTCATAGTAATTTTAGACGTTATAATTGCTAAAATCAGGTTCATTTTGCAATAGTCACGGGTCTACCTTTCGAATTCCTATGAAAGCTGGGCCATTGCCGGATAAGAAAAGTTTTGGGCATAATTTAGTTACCTATAGTGTTATCAATATTAGTGCCTGTCTTATAATAATAATGCCTAAATATAATAACTGAACGCTATTTTTTTTAAATAATGTATGTAAATAAATACCCAGTATACCGTGGTCGTATCGATCATTAGAAGAGATACATGGTTT